GTTTGAACATGAATCACCAGAGAGCAAGCACAGTCGATTTCATCTTGAAATAATTAGATCACGTGACGGCTAAAGGAATATATATATATATATATATATATATATATATATATATATATATATATATATATATATATATGGAATTGGCGGCATCTGATCAAGTATTGTTTAAAGACATTACTATTATTGTATTTGTGATTTACAAAGTCTCTCCTACAAATGGGCATTACAAAAGTAACAAGTATTCGTTGAACTTACATGAGGAAAAAATAAAATATATGTATCCTACAGGTCGTAATAGGATATTTAGTAATATTTATCACTTCACTAAAGAGATATCATATTTGCAGGAATACAGAGAAATAACCAAGCGAAGTTATTCAAAAATTAATTTACAAAATATTCAGTGGCGTAAGCAAAATGGAAGAACTAAAAGCTATCACGATTCAAATGTTGGCGCTACAAAAGCAACAACAGGAACAATAGTTGCAGCAACAAAAACAACAACAGGAACAACAATTGCAGCAACAAAAACAACAACATGGACAGCAATTACAATAACAACAAGAACATGAAGGCAAAATACAAGGCAGAAATTTGAACCCAGCTCTCTGATTAACATTTTCCTGAGTAAATAGAATAAAATAAAATATGCGCCTTCCGTAGTGCGGTAGCTACTAAGCTAGTCTGATACAATAGTGTAGGGTGTTCAATTTTACCTCTGTCTTTGCACTAGAGCAAGCTAATCTTAGTCAATGCTGTGAATTGAAATACTGCGTAAAATGAAATTTCAATATTCAGAAGTACGAAGCCAATTTTGACCAGGATATTCTGATAAAAAGTCTCAAGTCATTTTGTAATGTAGCAACACTCATGCCAGTGCACAGTCTGTGCCTGAGTTTAGACGTTGACTGAAGACGCCGGTATGGAACCATTTGAAACCTCATCAATAGTATGACAAGGAAGAAACGAGAGTCCCCAGTACATTTAATCTCTTCTTAGACTATGCCGTGCACATCTAGAAACACAGATGTGAAGTGATAAACACTGACCCTTTAAGCATTCTATACCTCATCCCAAATGAATCAAAGACAACAATCCTGCTTTCCCGCCTCATGATGAAGGGGGGGGGGGTCTATGCTGATGATATTATAGGTATTCATAGTTCAGATAAGAATGAATTTGAACGGAAAAATATCCTCTACCAAGTGTTCCAAGCAATAGAACTCAATATAAACTTGAACAAAAACAAAACAAAACAAAAAAAACCCCAAAACAATCCTCTGTTTTAAGAAATAACTCAAAATAAACTTTTCCAAAACAGAAACTATTATTTTGAATTAGAATAAAAGCAATGATGGCATATATTCTGAATCCATCAGAAGAATTCAAGAGGTGGAATTAGTAAATACTAAACACTTCAAATACCTTCATGTACAAATTAGGAATAAAATTGTACCTAGAATCGGTTGGGCTAAAGGTAGTTTTGCCCAATACCACAAATTGTTACAAAATCAAAATATCAACGTGAAAACTCAAGTCATGATATCAAATAGCCTCATTAGATCAAGACTTTTATGCATGGTGTCAAACCCATTCAGAAATATCTAAAATTTCAGCAGTATACAACTACTTTCTAAGATCAACGAGTGACTAAAGCCTGCAGGTCTTGGCAAAGATCATCCTTTTTGAATATTGTGGACTGACACAACAGAATCACAAAGAACTGTACCAAATAACAGAAACCAAATCACTTGAGGACTTTCAACAGCAGCAACCGCTAAATTGAATAGCACATGTAACTTAAAGAGAAAATATTGACATAATGAAGATGTTAACATTCCACGCCACCTCAAAAGGAAAAAAAAGGATTCAACCGCATTTGGTATCATCGAAAATGATCCTTTCCTTTAATTGCATAAAATGTGCTTCGCCAGGACTACATAGAGTTTTTGAATTCAGTGTTTTCATTCTCCTAGACCGGTTGTTATCCAAGGCTATAGAACCCGGTCTGTCCTACTATTTACCCATAGCTGAGGGGAGAAGCATCATTAGCATCGCACACATTTTCAGTGGTATCGCAGGAGTGTAATTTGTGGGTGGTCAAATGGCGCACTGTAGCGCGTTCAGTAATGAGAGAAAGTTCGGCCTTCATGCAAGTGATAGTCGATTGCGTGTGCTACGTAGACTCGGACAGTGACATATTCCATAGTATATTTGCCAACGGTACACAAGTCCAACTCCAGACGATACGTGTAGTTATGATAGAACCTTCAAAATACGTATAGTGGTCAACCTATTCTGTTGCTATTCATGTCTCATGATGATTGTGATGCTTATGCCCTGCAAGATGTTCGATAACTTCCCGACTAAGTACGATTACCAAATATGACCTTCATTAGGCATTTACGGGATTTGATGGCACGATACCTGACTCATGCAGCTTGCCCACCTACAACACTTGTTGTCTTGCGTCGAGAAAAACGTGTGCAGTTATATGCCGCATGTTGCATTCGTTCATTTCTAAAATGGTGTGCATGTGAGAATACAAAACCCGCTTAAAGCCAAAAGATGATATACAACGAATAAAAACAAAAGGAAAACTATTCTTTACTAATACGGTCCGTCCTCTCGTGGACTTTGTCAAGACAATTATAACGATTTTTAGCAAAGGTATTTATAGGCAGAAAAAAAAAAAACATTGTCAGGTTTTTAATTTTTAAACATTTAAGAACACTTATAAATATAATTCGCGCTAACCCATTTTGCCTTGTAATTTAACCCATAGCTAGGGTGGGGATGAAGAAATGAGAAGTCAAGGTAAATTACGTGAGATGCTAAGTAATGTAAAGTAAAAAGTAAATAAAGATTGTTATTAATGTTGAATCTTTCTTTATTCTCTCTCTCTCTCTCTCTCTCTCTCTCTCTCTCTATATATATATATATATATATATATATATATATATATATATATCCACCTCAGCAGTATACAACTACTTTCTAAGATCAAAGAGTGACTAAAGCCTGCAGGTCTTGGCAAAGATCATCCTTTTTGAATATTGTGGACTGGCACAACAGAATCACAAAGAACTGTACCATGACCCCCACCTCAGAATTTTCCCCTCCTCCGAGCACTCATTAAGAACAACAAGGACAAATCTATGCCCCTCGGGGATTTGAGAAATAGACACACATAGACCCGTGTATGACGATATATATATATATATATATATATATATATATATACGATATATACGCACCCGGAAAATTTAATTCCGGTCGCGCACTCTGTCGAAAAAGCGCGAATTGGTAAACAATAACTACTAATGCTAATACTGAATTGAGCCATCTCTGTCACTGGCGTGTTTATTCGAAGAATAGATACATAAAAATTCGCCTTCCTCTCTACTGGGCGCTGAGAGCTCAGGGGTAAAATCTCCGACTGATGCCAAATTAGTTGAGTTTCGATCCCGGCAATCGGATGTCTAGCCCCACTGATGAGCTGTGACACAACGAAACATTCTGTCTGTGTATGACGATATATATATATATATATATATATATATATGATAAAAATATAGTTTTAAGGTATGCTATATTTATGAGTTAAGATACTCACTATTAGGGATAGAGCGTATGTAAATATAAAAGTGGACATAGAATTCAACATCCAGCGGCGACAATCTGTTTCATGCTTAAACGCAATCTCCAAGCTATAAAAATTCCTTTCATCCGCAGTGTGCGCCTATAGCCTAGGTTAAGAGTCACCGATTGATGTCAAATCGGTCGAGTTTCGATCCCGCTTGAAGCAACCACGTGTCAAGCCACACTCATGGACAGTGAAATAGTCTGTCTGTTGATGATTATATATATATATATATATGCAACAAACAACTAGCAAGACTTACTCATTTTCCGTCAATGTAATTTTCCGCATAGTCAACTGAGTAATGGAAAACCTGAGTTAGTAAATGCGTACATCATACTTATTATAAAACACAGGTTGTGTGTGTGTGTGTGTGTACGTTTATATATTGGATCGGATTTCCTACATTTTTCAACCTATTTCAACAGAACTTCACAGGACTACGTAAAATTACCTTGCGGTGGTTCTGACAACGCCAATAATTGGAAAAACACAATTGTTTTTGCACGAAATCAATTTGAAAACACATTAAGAGGCATCGCTCTCGCGAGAATGAAAGGGGAACAACTCATATCGAGTTATACTTATTATAAAACCCAGGTTGTGTGTGTGTGTGTGTGTGTTCGTTTATATATGGGATCGGATTTCCTACATTTTCAACCAATTTCAACAAAACTTCACTTTTTTTGGCATGTAGTGTTTCTTATTGTCTTGCACACTTTTTTCTTTATTTTTACATTCAGAATGCTTTAAAAATTCCATTTACAAGACAATTGTTTATAATAAAATTCTATTCAATCGATAGACTCATAACGATTGAAAACAATGTTTTTGTTTGAGTTTGGGATTTACCAATTCGTAAAAAAAAAAAAAACTAATTAAGACATGCGTGTCCGTCAACCTTAAACAATAATCTTTGTTAATTTTATTTTTCAGTCTTTATGATGGTCGATACTTGATCTATCGCTTACTGTCCTCGGGCAACGCCGGGCTCTACTGCTAGTATGAAATAAAACAAGTCTATGTAACCTTTACTAAATGTGTTGAAAGTGATTCTTCAAAACTTGTGTACATGATTACGTGTTTTATACATAACGTATGTTTTCTTGTGTATGTGTATTTATAGTTAATTTGTGGTGTGATTTGCAGTTGTGTTTGAGCCCAGATTTGGTTAGAAAAAGGAGGATTCATTCCATAAATGCTTATCTGAAAAATTAGCAGTTCCATGATTTCCAGACTGATCTGTGGGTCTATTTCTCAAGTCCCCGAGGGGCATAGATTTGTCCTTGTTGTTCTTAATGAGTGCTCGGAGGAGGGGAAAAATTCTGAGGTGGGGGTCATTATAATGGCAGTGTCAATAAACATTGAAATAATGATGAAGAAAGAAAAAAATGACAGGAAGGAAGGAAGGAAGGAAGGAAGGAAGGAAAAGAATAGAAGAAACAGGTAGAAGTTTATGAAAGAGAACAAAGAAAAAGAAAAAATAGGAAAAAGGAAAAGAAGAAAAATCAAGATGACACAGAAAAGGAAATGGATTAGGGAAGAATAAAAAGAGGATCAAGAAGAAGAAGAAAGGTAAAATGACATTAAGAAAGAAATGAGAAGAAGAAGAAGAAGAAGAAGAAATGCAAAAAAGGTGAAGGTAAGAAGAAAACGGAAGATAAAATAAGAATAAGAAAATGAATATGTGAAAAGAAAATCTGAAAAAAGAAGTTTGACAAAATGGATAAAAAAATGAAGAAAGACGCGGTAAAAATGTTGGAGAGAGGAAAAAAAAGAAAAGAAGAAGAACAACAAAGACAACAACAATGAAAAATGTAGGAGAGAGGAAGAAAGGTATGAAAAGAAAGAAAGAAAGACAGAAGAAGAAGAAGAAGAAGAAGAAGAAGAAGAAGAAGAGCAACAAAAACAACAACAACAGCAAAAAAAAAGCATCGCCACAACGATGAGGAGAGAGGAATGACAGGAAAGAAAGGAAGGAAGGAAGGAAGGAAGGAAGGAAGGAAGAAGAAGAAGAAGAAGAAGAACAACAACAACAACAACAGCAAAAAAAGCGTCACCACAACGATGAGGAGAGAGGAATGATAGGAAAGGAAGGAAGAACAAGAACAAGAACAACAACAACAACAACAAGAGCAACAAAAAAGCACCGACACAACAATGACGACAAATGTAGGACAGATAAAGAAAGCAAAGAAAGAAAGAAAGAAAGAAAGAAAGAAAGAAAGAAAGAAAAGAAGAAGAAGAACAACAACAAGAGCAACAAAAAAGCACTGACACAACGACACATGTAGGAGAGAGGAACAGAGAAAAGAAAAAAACTAAATAAGGAAAAGGTTTAAGAATTTTCTAAAGAGGAAATTTAAAAAAAAATGTTTCGAATATAAAAGAAGACAAAGAAAAAGCGAAGAAAAAAAAATGTTAGAACGAAAATGGCGCATGCTGTTGGGTGAAGTAAATGCGACCAGGTGGCAGCCAAGATGGTGGGAATAAAGTGAGACATGGGGCAGGAAAAAAAATGCAAGTCTGGTGAGATGCGGGATGCAGTCGACAGAAGAACATAACTTGCTTAATGATGCCAAGTGGGAGCAAAAAATCAGAGAGTGAAGTAAGGGATGTCAGTTTTAATGTCCGGACAGCCGTAGTTGTCCAACTGAGGCGAGGATGAAGATAATTTGGAGAAAAGAGATGCGAGCGAAAAGGAGAGATGTCGAATATAAGCACCAATGATAATTACGGACTGAGGAAGTCTGTGTGCAGAAACTTGGAGAAAATTATACGGTCTGTTGAGATTCTAAGAAGTGAGGGTGTAGTAAGCAGTGTTCGTCCTAATCTGAGGAGAAAGAAAAAGTCCAGTCTTTCGAGTTTGGTAGTAGGAGTGGTGATTGAAAACCCTTACAGTTGTGATGCTCTCGTGACAAATATTTTCAAGTGTGCGAACAGCCTTACTCCTCAGACCTCAGTGCATCAATGGCCACTTTGCCTCAGAATGATACATATGACATCTATCTATCTATCTATCTATCTATCTATCTATCTATCTATCCCAGCAATGTTCATATCTATCTATCTATCTATCTATCTATCTATCTATCTATCTATCTATCTATCCCAGCAATCTTCATATCTATCTATCTATCTATCTATCTATCTATCTATCTATCTATCTATCTATCTATCTAATCTCAGTCTTTTCATCTCTCTCTCTCTCACTCTCTCTCTCTCTCTCTCTACACACACACACACACACACACACACACACACACACACACACACATATATATATATATATATATTTATATTCGAGGTGGTTGCAGAAATCTTGTTCCTAGCCACATCTCAAATTTGACCATTTTCGAAAGAAGGGTATCTTGATCGGGTGGAGATTTTTTTAACACCACATACAGACAGGCACACACACACACAGACAGGCACACACACATACACACACACACACACACACACACACACACACACACATATATATATATATATATATATATATATAAAAGAAGAGAAGAGAGGTGCCGCAAACGTTTTTGGTTGCAATGTGGATTTCCTTTAAAAAAAATATTATGCTTTATTTTCCATAAATTATTTTTAATAATATGTGGAAATCCCCGCCTTTTATCTGAAGACGGTCGCGAGACCAGAAACCCGTGTAGTAAAATTATGGAAAATAAAGCAAAATATTTTTTTAAAAAAAATACCCATTACAACCAAAAACGAAAAGTTTGAATTTTAGATTTTAAGGTTGTGCGTTTTTGTACAAATATAGTTCCAAAACAATAACACATTTCTGATAGCATTTTTTCGGATTACATCTATATTGTCGTTGTCCTGTTATTACCGAGAAGTAAAAAACAAGAACAAATCTATTTCCATACCTGAGGATGTCTGTAGGAACAGACGAAAGCTTGTAAAAACTAAAAAATACCTTATGCAACTGGAATTTATAAACAGAGATCATATTATTCATATACAGGTTCGGGGTTAGTGTACCTTATTGAAATTGTTTGCGAAGATGTATTCTCGCCATTTAAATCATTAAAGCCTACATTTGTTTTTGGTATGAATGATTCATGTAATTATAAATTGAACTGCACCTATAATCGATATATATATATATATATATATATATATATATATATATATATATATATATATATACTGAGTGTATATGGGTAGTATTTTTCACTTTATGTACGTTTGACCAAAAAGTTCCTTTTGATTATTTTCATTAATATCTTAAATATTTCTAATAATTATATTTTAAAATTCCGGTTGGTATTGGTAAATAAAACTCTTCCCAAAAAGTGGATATATTCATGTTTTGTTTTGCGATTTGCCTTTCACACAAAACGAGATTTTGTCACAGTTCTTGAAGCAACATAAATTTACAGAACATCTGATGCAGACAAGCTGTAAAAATAGGAGTACTGGTGGAGTTGATGCAAAGAAACATATGGTGTAACCCTTCTGCATTTCTCAATCCCAGCCGCTATCCACTACTTTCGATGCTTGCTTTTTCTTGGCAGATGCACAACAATACCATCAGCTTTCACCCATTTGCATTTTCATTTTTCAGAACAGAACTGTTCAGAAACCGACAATGGTTGTGTTAGCACAAAGTCACAAGTCCTCGTGACTGAGGCTTTGAGCGTACAGGCCTTGTTTCAAATGTTCATCATACTAGATTATGTGCTCTCTCTCTCTAAGAAAATGTAACTAAAGTCACACGGCGCAGTTTCGATATAAACTACAGGATGCGGAAAGAATACAAGATTTTGTTCCACCCTAAAAATACAAAAAAAAAAAAGGACAATCAGAATATTTTATGGAATATAACACAAGCAGTTTTTGTAATTTTTGAGTTCGCTATCCGGTTGTATTCGACGTATGAGGGTCAAGAACCAACAGCCCAGCCCAGATTATAGTGGTGGAGGCTTTCTGCAGAACCAGTCACACTTTTTTTGAAGGGTCGAATACAGAGACCTGGTACACTAGGTGCCACAAGGTCCCCAAACAACGCAATTTTGAATTCAGAGTTGTCCTTCTCCTAGACTAGTTACCATTCAAGTCCTGCTATTTACCCATAGCTGGAGGGAGAAGAAAGGGATTCATACCTTTCCCAAGGATATTAGCACGTAAGTGAATGTAATGGATTCGACTGGAATTAGAACTCGGGTCTCCGATTCCTCAATCTGAGCCGCTATCCACTACTCCACCTCCTTATCCAAATGCCAATGATTGATAGGTGTGTTTATTAAAAGCATTATTACCAACAAATAAAACTGAATGATCACTTATCTGCTCGTATTCTGAGTTTCGTGGTGGTCACAGGGAGATATAAACGAACATTTATTTTTATTTTTCATTATATATAGATATAAAAAAAAATTACATAGAAAAATCAGAACATCGTTACTATAAACGTTATATTTGTGTGGGGGAACGTTTGATTATTTCCTGTATTTTTTAATAGTGAAAGTAATATATCAAACACGTAAGAAATATTGCCGGATTAAAAATATTTTCTCTCTCTCTCTCTCTCTCTCTCTCTCTCTCTATATATATATATATATATATATATATATATATATATATATATATATATACAAATGTAAAAGAACGAAAAGAATATAAATTCAAACGCTCATAGCATTAATTTAAAAAGGGCTCAATACAAGAGTAAAGCAATAGTTAACCATCTGATGAGATGTCTAAATTAAACATCAAAACAAATATATATTTTTGTTGTGGTAACTTGTATGTTCCAGTGTAACAGTTTATAATATATATATATATATATATATATATATATATATATATATAAATGTAAATGGATATATCCAGACGAATGAAGAAATATTTGGAAAAAACAAACAAAAATCCTTAAATGCAATTATGTTGTTTAAAATGAATGAAATGTCGACGTCTGACGTTTCGCTTTAATAAACCTTCTTCACGACAATATTCATTAAAATACAATTCAGTTCAATTTGACAAAGACGATGGACATAAAAACAAGTCTTATCCAAAACAGATAGCGAGATTAATGCTCGACAAGCATACACATAAACATTTTAGATCCTAATAGAATTCTTTACATTTTCTTTTTCATTCAAAATAATCAAAAATTTTTTAGGAATACGTTTTGAAAGCGTCGCCCATATGACGACAACGTGACCATGCTAAACGGAAAGCTGATCGTTTTAAAAATTTTCAGTTATCTGTTTTGGATAAGACTTGTTTTTATGTCCATCGCCTTTGTCAAATTGAACTGAATTGTATTTTAATGAATATTGTCCTGAAGAAAAAAGTTTATTAAACCGAAACGTCAGACGTCGACATTTCATTCATTTTAAACAACATAATTGCATTTAAGGATTTTGTTTGTTTTTTTTCCAAATTTTTCTTCATATATATATATATATATATATATATATATATATATATATATTTATATATGGAAATTTTATGAATAAAAATGACAATTAACTAGTAATTGCTGACGCGTTTCGTCCAGTGTGGCATTTATCAAAGCAAAATACGAAATTTCGTATTTTGCTTTTGATAAAGTCCATATTGACGAAACGCGTCAGCAATTACCAGTTTTCCTATTGTCATTTTTATTCATATATATATATATATATATATATATATATATATATATATATATATATATATATATTTTCATTTCAACCGTTGATATATATATTTCATTTCAACCTTTGGAAGTAAAGTCTGATGATCCAGAGCCCTTTAAAAGGGCTGTAGTGAAATGATTTATTACATGGAACGTTAAAGTGGTCTGGATTTAAAAAAATACATATATATATATTATACTTTATTTTCCATATTTTTGCTACACGGTTTCCAGTCACGCGACCTTCATCAGGCAAAGAGTGGTTATTTCCACATATTAAAAGGAATTAATTTTTCTTATGTTTTCGATGTCAAGCCATTGTCTTTTGCCTGTAGTAGTAGCTCAAATGTTTTTCTTGGACTAGTGGTGAAAGTATTCTTCTGCTTGAGAAATAATTAAGATTGGTCAGAGAAAGAAAGGCGGTATTCGTTCTTACCCTTTTTTCAACTCCTGTATCTTTTTACACCTATCTCCATTTGTGTGTATTGCGTGTGTGTATTTGTCCTTGCTAGTATAAGGAATTAGAATATACATAGTATTATAGCTGGCCACTCGTATTCAAGGATACCCGTCTACTGTGGCGGTTAACCAATCCGTATTGTAAGCAACCACAGAGCCCACCAGTGGTTTATATTGCATCTATGCTGAGCAGACCTTAGTTACAGTTTCTGGGAAAAAAGCGTGTTATCTAGCATAATCAATAATTTGAACAAGGCCAGCACGCTCAGGACCTCGGCCACGATGACTTGTGACTTCGTGCTAGCACAGATATCAATGGCACCCAACGGTTCTGTCTATCCAATTTCACTCACTTGGGTCAATCCGTGGTATGGTTTTAAGGCACTTTCCAAAGGTGCCGCAAAGCCATACCCCCCCTCCAGTCCGATAACATCAGGAAATTTCCTTCCTGACAAATCGACCAAGGTGAGACCCGAAACCAGGTCTTATGGTCAGAATGCGAACATTCTAACCACTCGGCCATATATATATATATATATATATATATATATATCTGTGTGTGTGTATAGGCAGCAAATCTTCATTCTAACACGTTTCATTGAATAATATAGATATATTGTGTCTATTTTTATACTGATCCTTTCTAATCAGTCTCTTGATGTTGTGTAAAATTCATATATATATTAATTCATATATATTTACAGCATTATTAAAAAGTACGAACCAATTTCATATACGCAATATTTTTTTATAAGGAATAACAATAGAAAACTCCAGCCAAGTCACAAGTATTCTACTCACAATCAACTTTTATTTCCTGTCTTACAAGCATTCAATGTGGCCACCACCTGCAGCACGGGCAACATCAATGCGATAAAAGAATCCCCCCACCCCCAGACGCGTATCAGCATATCACGATCCACTGATTATTTACATCGTTCGGACTATCGTCCTCATCTTTGTTGCCATATTTATCACAACGTTTCGGCCGTTGTACGCCCGGCCTTCTTCAGGTGGTTGGAATGTCGAACTGAACCCTTGTTTTGCTCGCTGAGGTAGACTGTTCTAGTTCCACGTGCCATGTCTAATGGATGTCACTTATCTCCTGTTCATTCCCCTTTCCAAATTCTCCACTGCCTTAACCAGGTATTGAACTCACACTCTTTGGATCCTGTCACTGTATCTAACTAACGCCTTTATCCACTGTGTCATGTGTCCTTGAGAAATATAGACAGATACGATCCACTGAGTTGATCGCTGTTCGTATTCGATGTTTAAAGTCATCGAAGTTAGTGGGTAGCGGTGAAACACGATCTTTTATGTATTCCCACAAGAAAGAATCATACACTGTGAGGTCTAGGGATCTTGCAAAGCCAAACACAAAAAGCATGTTTTTGGTAAGTGCCTGAAAGAAGCGTAGTCTATAAGGTTTCAAATGTAGACGTCTCCTTACCACATGCCAGATAGTGGATTGAGAGATCGCAAGCTCACGTCTAGCACGATTTGTAGACTTCCGTGGACTCCTCTCAAACGCAACATGGATTCTTGTCACTTGTTCCTCCAAAACTCGTGGTCGTCCTGGACTTTTTCCTTTACACAGACACCCACTCTCTTGAAACTGTTTAAACCACCGTCGAATATTCTTAGGAGAGGGCGTATTAATGTCGAATTGCCTTCGAAAAACAGAATTTGTTTTCGCGAACCCGAGAACGCTGAACGCCTTTTGCTGAGAAGACGTCATTCTGAGGGCAAATAAACAATTGAATTTTTCCGGAGATACGACTACAGCACCCCTGAGACAGCAATTCAAAACTCCTCTTTCAAATGGTCACTGACTCATTACATGGCGATGCTTGAGAATTGAAGCAATGCGTCATGAAATCGGTTCATTCTTTAATAGTCCTGTATTATATATCAAAATAGAATTCATATTATATCTTAATTTCATATATATATATATATATGTTAAGATGAAATTCATATACATATTATATCTTGAATTTTATATATATATATATATATATATATATATATATATATATATATATATATATATAAAGATAAAATTCATTTATATATATATATATATATAATTTATATATACATACATATATATATATATATATTCCGATTCATTTTATATATATATATATATATATAAATGAAATTCATGAATGAATACATCTATATATATATATATATATATATATTAATGAATTTATGAATGAATACACACACACACACACACACACACACATACACACATATATATATATATATATAATGCGTGCCAAATTATTATCGAGATAACTTTTTTTCTAATATTTCAAAAACCGTCCAATCAATTCACACACATATGATTTTAACTTCTTCAAGTTGAGGGCCAAACATTATCTATCCTACATATTCTCATAAAATATATCATATATCATAGATACCGATTTAAAAAATAAAATATAATATCTATGAATAAATTTAATTGATTTATAACGATTTTCACACTAGTTGGCAACACTGAGCTGCGCAATCACTGAAATTTTCGTACTGATCTGCGCAATGTAAACAAACTGGCGCCATATTTGTTATCAGCACGGTGATTTGAGCGTGCCAAATTATTAGAAAGGTTTAGTAAAATTCCCAGAATTGAGCAAACAAAATGTTGAACGTGAATGTTTATGATCAAAAGAAGCTAATAAATAAGATAATCAAACAAATAACAGATACAAACAAAGGCACAGTTTTAAACAAAATAATAGGGAATGTGCTTTCAATGTTTTGAAATTACTTGAAAAAGTCGACGATCCATAGAATTTGTTAATTGTAGGATGTCATCTGCTGTAATGCCGCGAGATATGTCAAGAATTGCTTCACACAACTCAGCGTTGCTCCTGAATTGTTGTCCGTTGGCGTACAGTCTTCGCTTCATGATGCTCCAAAGGTTTTCGATTGGGCTCAAATCCGGAGAATTTGCTGGCTACTTCATTTTTCGAGATCCATCGAAGCCTAACTGTTTCAAATATTCAGTAGTCTTATGAGCAGCATGTGAAGGAGCATTATCTTACATAAAAAACAATGGCCTTTCTGAAGGCAACTCTTTGCCTTTTCATCCACGGCTCAAGATGCTCCTTCATAAACGCTATGTATGCATCAGCAGCCATTTAGACGCCATCTGGTACTGTCCATGGGCCCACTAATGTTTTTCCAATAATACCACCCCAGATCATTATGGCTCCACCGCCTTCTTGGCGTCTCAAACACTGATGGCGATTCTGTCCGTTCATTACCCAGCCTTTGCACCATCTACCTGGCCCATCAAGTGTTGCTCGAGTTTTGTCTGTGAACAAAACTTTAGAGAAGTCAATTTTCATATTGTCCTCGGCCCATTTCAATCGATTTTGAATGTGATTTTTCGTCAAAGGAAACTTCGATACAGGTTTGACTGCTGTTGCTATTTCCCTCAGATACCGACACAGAGTACTTTTAGACACAGTAAGATCCCAATACGACTGACTGGTAAGTCCAGGGTTCTTCATGGGCTCTCGTTTAAGTCGTGACATGAGACGACGTGAAATAACCTTTGGCTTGCCTTTATATGCCCCTTTGCGTACTTGTGTAGGGTCGGTGTGAATTTTTCACTGTTTGATGACACTTCGCTATCATTTTAAAAATTTCTAGGGTATATTTACCTTTTGAGAGTTCTGAGGTAATAGTTTTCTTTTCAGCATCACTTAAACTGCTTTTACGGTCCATCTTTTCACTAAATTTTTATACTTTTCTAATAATTTGGTACGCTCAAATCACCGTGCTGGTAACAAATATGGCGCCAGTTTGTTTGCATTGCGCAGATCAGTACGAAAATTTCAGTGATTGCGCAGCTCAGTGTTGCCAACATTGTGTGAAAAACGTTATAAATCAATTAAATTTATTCATAGATATTTTATTTTATTTTTTAAATTGGTATCTCCCCATGCAAAAGTTACAGGGTGTGGGAGACTTAAGAACAAAATGAACGGGTAGAGAAAAGGGTAATCAGCTTTTTACTTACAAATCCTGCTAATGTTAAAAGAGTTTTCTTCCAGTCGACGGCTTTTATTTTTGCGAAACACAATTAAGATGTAAGCGCGTAAAGAAGGGAAGTAAGATGGGCAATTTTATGAGAATATGTAGGATGGATAAGGTTTGACCTTCAACTTGAAGAGGTTTAAATCATAGTGTTCGGAGAAGCATACTCTCGGGAGTGTGTTTCTCAGTGGAATATGAATTGAATGAAGATCCTGTGTACGTGGCATGGCGGGCCTGAGAACCGAAAATATGAACTGACAGAACTAGAAAATGTAGCTCATCTGAAAATTTGCCATAAAACAAGCGGTAGATTAGCGAGAGGCTAGCAACGTTGCGGGGAAAGGGGTTGTAGGAAAGGGGTTGTAGGTAAACGCTTTCGAACTCTGTCAAAGTTGAAAAGTGAAGATTAGGTAGCTCCATTTGATCTACCTAACTTTTTAAAAACCATTTCATCCCCAAGCAAGACGATAATGCCGCTAAGACGCAAGGGACTACTGGGAGGGAAAGAGAATGAAAAGACTTTAAAAGGAGCCGGAAATCCAATCCTAAGCAAGGGATAAACCTCTATTCCTATTCGATAGACCGGAAACGTGTGTGAGCCGAGCGACAGGGGGTTTAAAATAAAAATACTAACGCTCAAATTGCGACCGTTAGTTTTATTAAAAGTTTTCATTTCTTCGCATCTGTAAGAGCAAAATTTACACATAAGTTTTTTTTTCGGTATGGGAGTGAGAACATATTTTGTAAAAACGTGTAGCCATCTTTTCCCATTCCATTTGCCAAGTAGCAATCAGTTATACTCCCCGAAAAGCAAATGACTGAACTGTCTTGATCAATCTTAATTCCAACAGATGACGACTAGAGTTGTTAGGAAACAAATGGAACGTTAACCAAATACAGACAATGACAGGAATGAAGGGAGAATGACGGAAAAACCCGAAATAAAATTCTTGTGAATACTTTTCCTGGTCACTCGTTTCATTTGTCTACGCATAGACATATGAGTGCAGCTGAACTACGGTTTTGATTGAAACATTTATTGAACTTCTTTTCCCCATACCTTGATATTTTCAGTGACATTTCTTTTAACTATTTCTTTTTTTCTTTCTCTCTCTGGCCCAGATTATATTTTCTTTCTTTCTTTCTTTCTTTCTTTTTCTTTCTTTCTTTCTTTCTTTCTTTTCTTCGTTCTCATTATTTCTATCTTTTCTTGGTTTCTGTGTTTTTCTTTATTTCTTTATGAGAAATGAAAGACGGAAAAAGAAAAAAAATTAAATAGAACAAAGAATTAAAAAAGAATGAAGAAAGAAAGAAAGGGAACGAAAAAAGAAAGAAAGAATAAAGCGAACACAGTTATTTCATTCGTCATTAGTCTTCGTCGTCATTCTTTTTTCGTCTACCATTTCCTGTTCTGTTGTCGTTTTCTTTGTTGTTTGTTTTGTTGGTTTGTTTATTTCTTTCTTAAGAAAAAAAATAAATGACAGAGACAGAAGAAAAGAAAGATACCGATGAAAGCAAGAAAGAAAGAAAGCGAACAAACTTATTTCGTTCTTCATTCATTCATTCATTCATTCATTCTTTCTTACTTTCTTTCTTTCTTTCTTTCTTTCTTTCTTTCTTTCTTTCTTATCGTTCTCTATTCGTTTTTTCTTTTTATCTTTCTCTATTCTTTCTTCGTTCTCATTCTGTCTACTCTTTTCTTTGTTTCTCCTTGTCTTACTTTTTTCTTTTTATATTTTTTTTGGGGGATGAAAGTAAATGAAGTACAGAAGAATGAAAACGAGGAAATAAATAAAGAAAACAGGATTTTTCTTTCTTTCTTTCATTTCTTTCTTTCTTTCTTTATTTCATTTCTTGCTTTCTTTTTTTTTTTTTTTCTTTCTTTTATTTCTTCCTTCTTTTTTCTTTCTTTTCTTTCTTTTCTTTCTTCAATCATTCATTTATTCATTCTTTTCTTTTCATTTCTTTTCTTTCTTTTTTCTTTCTTTCTTTCTTTCTTCCTTCTTTTTCTTTTTTTTTTTCTTTTCTTCAATCATTCATTTATTCATTCTTTCTTTCATTTCTTTCTTTTCTTTTATTTTTTTCATTTCTTTTTCTTTTCTTTTTTTTTCTTTCTTTCTTTCTTTTCTTTTTTTTTTTTTTCTTTCTTTTTCAATCATTTTTTTTCATTCTTTCTTTCTTTTTTCTTTCTTTCTTCAATCATTCATTTATTCATTCTTTTTTCATTTTTTTTTTCTTTCTTTTTTCTTTCTTTTTTTTTTCTTTTTCTTTATTTTCATTCTTTCTTTCTTTCTTTCTTTTTTTTTTCTTTCTTTCATTCTTCAATCATTCATTTATTCATTTTTCTTTTTTCTTCTTTCTTTCTTTTTTTCTTCTTTTCTTTCTTTCTTTCTTTCTTCAATCATTCATTTATTCATTCTTTCTTTCATTTCTTTTTTTCAATCTTTTTTCAATTTTCTTTTTTCTTTTTTTTCTTTCTTTTTTTTTTTTTTCTTTTCTTTCATTCTTTATTCATTTCTTTTTTCTTTTTTTTCTTTCTTTCTTTTTCAATCATTCATTTAATCATTCTTTCATTTTCATTTCTTTATTTCATTTCTTTTTTCTTTTTTTTTCTTTCTTTCTTTCTTTCTTTCTTTCTTCTTTTTTTTTTTTTTTCTTTCTTTCTTTTTCTTCAATCATTCATTTATTCATTCTTTCTTTTTTCTTTTTTCTTTCTTTTCTTTCTTTCTTCAATCATTCATTTTATTCATTTCATTCTTTCATTTTTCTTTCTTTTTCTTTTTTCTTTTTTTCTTTCTTTCTTTCTTTCTTTTTTTTCCAATTTTCATTTATTCATTTATTTCTTTCATTTCTTTCTTTCTTTTTTTTTCTTTTTTCTTTTTTTTCTTGCTTTCTTTTCTTTCTTCAATCATTTATTTATTTCTTTCTTCCTTTTTTTTTTTTTTTTTCTTTTTTCTTTCTTTCTTTCTTCAATCATTCATTTATTCATTCTTTTTCTTTCTTTTTTTCTTTTTTTTTTCTTTTTCTTTCTTTTTTTCTTTCTTTTTTCTTTCACTTTTTCTTTCTTTTCTTTTTTTTCTTCAATCATTCATTTATTCATTCTTTCTTTCTTTTTTTTTTTTCTTTTTTTTTTTTTCTTCAATCATTTCATTTATTCATTCTTTTCTTTCTTTCTTTCTTTTTTATTTTTTTCTTGCTTTCTTTTTTTTTGCTTTCTTTCTTTCTTTCTTTCTTTCTTTTCTTTTTCTTTCTTTTCTTTCTTTCTTTCTTCAATCATTCATTTATTCATTTTTTTCTTTTTTTTTTTTTTTTCTTTCTTTCTTTCTTTCTTTCTTTCTTCAATCATTAATTTATTCATTCTTTCTTTCATTTCTTTCTTTCTTTTTTCTTTCTTTCTTTCTTTCTTTCTTTCTTTCTTCCTTCCTTCTTTTTCTTTCTTTCTTTCTTTCTTTCTTCAATCATTCATTTATTCATTCTTTCATTTCTTTCTTTCTTTATTTCATTTCTTGCTTTCTTTCTTTTTTCTTGCTTTCTTTCTTTCTTTCTTCTTTTTCTTTCTTTCTTTCTTTCTTTCTTTCTTCAATCATTCATTTATTCATTCTTTCTTTCTTTTTTCTTTCTTTCTTTCTTTCTTTCTTTCTTCAATCATTCATTTACTCATTCTTTCTTTCATTTCTGGCTTTCTTTCTTTTTTTTGCTTTCTTTCTTTCTTTCTTTCTTTCTTCCCACTTTTTCTTTCTTTCTTTCTTTCTTTCTTTCTTCAATCATTCATTTATTCACTCTTTCTTTCTTTTTTCTTTCTTTCTTTCTTTCTTTCTTCAATCATTCATTTATTCATTCTTTCTTTCATTTCTTTCTTTCTTTATTTATTTCATTTCTTGCTTTCTTTCTTTTTTCTTTCTTTCTTTATTTCTTCCTTCTTTTTCTTTCTTTCTTTCTTTCTTTCTTCAATCACTTATTCATTCATTCTTTCTTATTTCTTTCTTTCTTTCTTTCTTTCTTTCTTCAATCATTCATTTATTCATTCTTTCTTTCATTTCTTTCTTTCTTTATTTCATTTCTTGCTTTCTTTCTTTTTTCTTTCTTTCTTTCTTTCTTTATTTCTTCCTTCTTTTTCTTTCTTTCTTTCTTTCTTTCTTTCTTCAATCATTCATTTATTCATTCTTTCTTTTTTCTTTCTTTCTTTCTTTCTTTCTTTCTTCAATCATTCATTTATTCATTCTTTCTTTCATTTCTTTCTTTCTTTATTTATTTCATTTCTTGCTTTCTTTCTTTTTTCTTTCTTTCTTTCTTTCTTTTTTCCTTCTTTTTCTTTCTTTCTTTCTTTCTTTCTTCAATCATTCATTTATTCATTCTTTCTTTCTTTCTTTCTTTCTTCAATCATTCATTTATTCATTCTTTCTTTCATTTCTTTCTTTCTTTATTTATTTCATTTCTTGCTTTCTTTCTTTTCCTTTTTTCTTTCTTTCTTTCTTTCTTTCTTTCTTCCTTCTTTTTCTTTCTTTCTTTCTTTCTTCAATCATTCATTTATTCATTCTTTCTTTCATTTCTTTCTTTCTTTCTATATTTCATTTATTGCTTTCTTTCTTTCTTTCTTTCTTTCTTTCTTTCTTAAATCATTCATTTATTCATTCTTTCTTTCATTTCTTTCTTTCTTTCTTTATTTCATTTCTTGCTTTCTTTCTTTTTTCTTGCTTTCTTTCTTTCTTTCTTTCTTCCTTCTTTTTCTTTCTTTCTTTCTTTCTTCAATCATTCATTTATTCATTCTTTCTTTCTTTTTTCTTTCTTTCTTTCTTTCTTCAATCATTCATTTATTCATTCTTTTTTTCATTTCTTTCTTTCTTTCTTTATATCATTACATTTCTTGCTTTCTTTCTTTTTTCTTTTTTCTTTCTTTCTTTCTTTCTTTCTTTCTTTCTTTCTTCAGTCATTCATTTATTCATTCTTTCTTTCATTTCTTTCTTTATTTCATTTCTTGCTTTCTTTCTTTTTTCTTGCTTTCTTTCTTTCTTTCTTCCTTCTTTTTCTTTCTTTCTTTCTTTCTTTCTTTCTTTCTTTCTTCAATCATTCATTTATTCATTCTTTCTGTCATTTCTTTATTTATTTATTTCATTTCTTGCTTTCTTTCTTTTTTCTTGCTTTCTTTCTTTCTTTCTTTCTTTCTTTCTTTCTTTCTTTCTTCCTTCCTTCTTTTTCATTCTTTCTTTCTTTCTTTCTTCAATCATTCATTTATTCATTCTTTCTTTCTTTTTTCTTTCTTTCTTTCTTCAATCATTCATTTACTCATTCTTTCTTTCTTTTTTCGTTCTTTCTTTCTTTCTTTCTTTCTTTCTTTCTTCAATCATTCATTTATTCATTCTTTCTTTCATTTCTTTCTTTCTTTATTTATTTCATTTCTTGCTTTCTTTCTTTTTTCTTTCTTTCTTTCTTTCTTTATTTCTTCCTTCTTTTTATTTCTTTCTTTCTTTCTTTCTTCAATCATTCATTTATTCATTCTTTCTTTTTTCTTTCTTTCTTTCTTTCTTTCTTTCTTTCTTTCTTTCTTTCTTTCTTCAATTATTCATTTATTCATTCTTTCTTTCATTTCTTTCTTTATTTCATTTCTTGCTTTCTTTCTTTTTTCTTGCTTTCTTTCTTTCTTTCTTTCTTTCTCCCTTCTTTTTCTTTCTCTCTTTCTTTCTTTCTTCAATCATTCATTTATTCATTCTTTCTTTCTTTTTTCTTTCTTTCTTTCTTTCTTTCTTTCTTTCTTTCTTTCTTTCTTTCTTTCTTTCTTCAATCATTCATTTATTCATTCTTTCTTTCTTTTTTCTTTCTTTCTTTCTCTCTTCCTTTCTTTCTTTCTTTCTTTCTTCAATCATTCATTTATTCATTATTTTCTTCCTTCTTTTTCTTTCTTTCTTTCTTTCTTTTTTCTTCTTTCTTTTTCTTTCTTTCTTTCTTTCTTCAATCATTCATTTATTCATTCTTTCTTTCTTTCTTTCATTTCTTTCATTTCTTTCTTTCTTTCTTTCTTCAATCATTCATTTATTCATTCTTTCTTTCATTTCTTTCTTTCTTTATTTCATTTCTTGCTTTGTTTCTTTCTTCCTTCTTTTTCTTTCTTTCTTTCTTTCTTCAATCATTCATTTATTCATTCTTTCTTTCTTTTTTCTTTCTTTCTTTCTTTCTTTTTTTCTTCAATCATTCATTTATTCATTCTTTCTTTCATTTCTTTCTTTCTTTCTTTATTTCATTTCTTGCTTTTTTTCTTTTTTCTTTCTTTCTTTCTTTCTTCCTTCTTTTTCTTTCTTTCTTTCTTTCTTCAATCATTCATTTATTCATTCTTTCTTTCATTTCTTTCTTTCTTTCTTTATTTCATTTCTTGCTTTCTTTCTTTTTTCTTTCTTTCTTTCTTCCTTCTTTTTCTTTCTTTCTTTCTTTCTTTCTTCAATCATTCATTTATTCATTCTTTCTTTCTTTTTTCTTTATTTCTTTCTTACTTTCATTTCTTGCTTTCTTTCTTTTTTCTTTCTTTCTTTTTTCTTTCTTTCTTTCTTTCTTTCTTCCTTCTTTTTCTTTCTTTCTTTCTTCCTTCTTTTTCTTTCTTTCTTTCTTTCTTCAATCATTCATTTATTCATTCTTTCTTTCTTTTTTCTTTCTTTCTTTCTTTCTTTCATTTCTTGCTTTCTTTCTTTTTTCTTTCTTTCTTTCTTTCTTTCTTCCTTCTTTTTCTTTCTTTCTTTCTTTCTTTCTTTCTTCAATCATTCATTTATTCATTCTTTCTTTCTTTTTTCTTTTCTTTTTTCTTTTTTCTTTTTTTTTTTCTTTCTTTTTTTTTTCTTTCTTTTCTTTTCTTTTCTTTCTTTCTTTCTTTCTTTCTTCCTTTTTCTTTTCTTTCTTTCTTTTTTCTTCAATCATTCATTTATTCATTTTTCTTTCTTTCTTTCATTTCTTTCATTTCTTTCTTTCTTTCTTTCTTTCTTTCTTCAATCATTCATTTATTCATTCTTTCTTTCTTTCTTTCATTTCTTTCATTTCTTTCTTTCTTTCTTTCTTTCTCTCTTTCTTTCTTCAATCATTCATTTATTCATTCTTTCTTTCATTTCTTTCTTTCTTTCTTTATTTCATTTCTTGCTTTCTTTCTTTTTTCTTTCTTTCTTTCATTTCTTTCTTTCTTTCTTTCTTAGAACCAAACGCACACGGCATATGCCCATATGTATGCATAGACATTTTCCTAAATTTACTCTGACGCATATCTATAACGGTGGTTTGTCCGAGTATATGAAAAAACTCCAATCAGACATCACCTGCGTCTAAAAGTCTCTAGCAACAAATTTATGTCAGCGCAAATAATTTACGGGCATTCGAAATTACATTTAAAAAAAAAATTTTTCTCCTTATTTTCAGGTTATTTATTAATTCTCTAAGGTTAACAATTCCTTAAACGTTTCCATTCGATATTTGCCACAAACAAGTTTTACGAATATTTTTACACTCATTTTGATATTCGCGAAACAAAGCAGTGGCTTTTGGGAAGAAACTGTCCGAACTGGACTTCCTCCTTACCAATGGAATAGAAAGGGAATGCAGATGGTTCACCAATATGTACATGGCATGACAAGGCTTAGTTGTAAAGGTCTGAACAGTTAGAAATAAGGAATGCAGTTTGCCTGCACATCTTGCATGTAAATATTGATAGAATAACAAGAAAGGTGCTGTAGAAAATAATTAATCTCCTACAAGGTTGCATAAATGTTTTTGAACTTTGTCCAAGCTGGAAAGAGAGGATTGGGCAGCTTCAGCTCAATACTCGATTTTTGGTCTGACTTATGGAAGAAGACTTGAAAGGAAACCTTTTTTTTTTTTTCTTATCCTTATTAGATAACAAATTATACAAACTGTCATTGAGCATTTACAATATGCTGACTGTATCCTTTGCAAAGGGCTAAGAATCACCCTCACCAAAAGGGGTCTCTTACCAAGTAGTTGTTGACTGCATCCTTTGCAAAGGGCTAAGAATCACCCTCACCAAAAGGGGTCTCTTACCAAGTAGTTGTTGACTGTATCCTTTGCAAAGGGCTAAGAATCACCCTCACCAAAAGGGGTCTCTTACCAAGTATTTGTTGACTGTATCCTTTGCAAAGGGCTAAGAATCACCCCTACACTAAAAGGGGGTCTCTTATCAAGTAGATGTTGAAAGACTCAATTATAAATGACAATTATTTATTCATTGTTGAACCAAGTAGATGTTTACAGAATTAAATACACGGTGTTTAAAAAAATAATTGACATTTAAATTGTGAATATCTGATTCCGAGGCTAGCAAAATTAAATCTGCTTCATGCTGAACAATAAGAGAACAGGAATTAAAATAACGAAAGATAACAATTGATATTGCAATTTTTTTATAATGTATTAGTTCACTGCATTGTTATTAATTAGAACCAATTAAAAATTTCTACAAAAAGCAAAAAAAGCAAAAGAAGAATGCTAGTCTCTCTTGTTTTAAACTTTTACAGTGTCACATGTGACAAGATAAAGCAATTTCGTTATTTAAAAAAGTGATTCAATTCTATATTCACATGTTAAATAGAAAAACTGATTTTTTATGATATTGTTCACCTACTACAAGAGCCACTCAAGTTAGATGATTATTGACTGAATGGGGTTGTTTTATGGACATAAGAACTGTAGATTATGAGGATATGTAGGATAAAGAATGGTTGACCCTAGACTTGAAGAGGTTAAGAATGTATTGGTCATGGACATATCATCTTTGGAGTCTCTTCTGCAAAGCAGTGGCTCTTAGCAAGAATCTGTCTGAATGACATTTCCTTACTAATGGAATAGACAGTGAATGAAGATGGTTCGAACCGTGTGTACATGGCATGACGAGTTTTAATTGTAAAGGAACTAGCGTACATTTTCAATGTAAACAGCGATAGGGTAGCGATAAGGTTTTTGATGTTACGGTTTGGGGAGAAAGGTGTTGTAGGGTACAAAATAATCCATCGCCTTCAGGGCCGCGTAAACTATTTTGAACTTTGTCGAGGTTGGAAACTGGGCTGTTGCAACTTATATTTGAACTGATCCAACCATTGGAATAATAGAGCACTCTCAGGTGGAATGAATTGTATACTGCGGCAGTATAACAAGCCAACCACCATTTTCCAGCGCCTTTAGTGATGGATCAAGGTGGGGAGATGAAGATAGATCAATATCTATTTACTGACCGAGGTTAGAGCACTGAATACAGTTGCTAAACCAAAACTATAATAGGTGCCATCTAAATCTACTTCTTCAGAGCAATTTATTTGATAAATTTTCATTTTAACACCCGAACGCTAATATCCCTTCAATTTTTTCACAAATAGTCTTATTTCCGTGCAAATCTATATGCTGAACTCAAATCAACAATTAGATATTAACCTACCTTTTTGGATGTTAACGACCCGAAAAAAATCGGACTTTTTCCTGGTCTTTCGTCAACCATTACCGGCTTATTGATAAGTAATTCAGTGCTGAATTCTGTCGGTGGACGTATACAATTTGGGCCTATTTACTCCCTTCACAGTAATTCCTTGTAGTTAACTTTCAAATTAGGTGTTTTTTGTGTTATTTATTGGGGGTTATTCTTTTATTTTTTTTTTAAAGAAGAAAGTTAACTTTCTAATTAGGGTTAGGTGATTTTTTTGGGGGGGTATTCTTTCATTTTTTTAGGTGTTTTTTTTTCTTTTGTTATTCTTTTATTTGTTGATGTCTACATATATTTGAAAGTTAACTTTATTCTTAAATTAAGTACAAAAAAAATTGCTTTACAGAAGCGCATACTAATTTCTGAAAGAAAATAGTTCAGCAGTAAATGACGCTCGGGTGTTAAAATGAAAATTTACCATTTATTTTCAAATCTTATTTATTTATTGTTATGTGAAACCACTTTACAAGTCATTGGCCCTGACTTGGCATCTCGACTTCAGTTACTTTCACACTGCCACAATGTGTCTCCCCTCTGCAGAGAGAGAGAGAGAGAGAGAGAGAGAGAGAGAGAGAGAGAGAGAGAGAGAGCGGGAGAGAGCGGGAGAGACAGTAGATAGATATGTAGGTGTGGGTGTGATGAGAAGAAAAATCGACCCACCTAGTGGTTGAAATAGTTGCGTGTTTTCTCGTCTGTGTCCGTGCCCCTACTGGGAAAAGTGATCACGAGGTATGGCTATACATAGCAGTGATAAATTTTTGATACCCTCCTTCCCAGTGGCATTAGTGAAAAATAATATTAAACAAAAATATTTCAAACCTTTTTGTTTACTGCTCTAAATCGATCGGCCCTTCTTTGTGTTTGTTTGTTTGTTTGTTTATTTATTTGTTTGTTTGTTTGTTTGTTTGTTTCTTTCTTTCTTTCTTTCTTTCTTTCTTTCTTTCCCAAACATACATTTATGTACTTCATTGATTCATTCTTTCCCGTAGATCATCTCTTTCTATTTCTCTTTCTTTCTTTCTTTGGTTCCTTCGTTTTTCTTTCTTTTTCTATTTCTTTTTTTGTATGCACTTTCTTTTTTATTTCTCGAAAGACACTTTGTTTCACCATTTCTTTCTTTCTTTCTTTCTTTCTTTCTTTCTTTCTTTCTTTCTTTCTAGCTTTCTGTCTGTCTGTCTGTCTTCCTTTCTTTCTTTCTTTCTTTCTTTCTTTCTAGCTTTCCGTCTGTTTGTCTGTCTTTCTTTCTTTCTAGCTTTCCGTCTTTCTTTCTTTCTTTCTTTCTTTCTTTCTTTCTTTCTTTCTTTCTTTCTTTCTTTCTTTCTTTCTAGCTTTCCGTCTGTCTGTCTTTCTTTCTTTCTTTCTTTCTTTCTTTCTAGCTTTCCGTCTTTCTTTCTTTGTCAAATACAGATGTATGCGCTTATATTATCTCTTGCTTGAAATTCATTCATTCGTTCACACTTTTTCTTTCTTTGTCTCACACACACATGGATGCACTCATTGCTTTTTCATTATTTTTTCATTTGTATTATTTCTTTTTTCTTTCTTCATTTATTTATTTATTTTTAGTTTCTTTCTTTTTTAGTTTCTTTCTTTTCTTTTCGTCCTTTTCCTTAACATGTTTCTTTCTTTTTCTTAGTGTGTTTTCTCCTTTCTTTGTTTTTAGTATCTTTCTTTCTTCTTTCCCTTCTTTCTTTCTTTCGTTCTTTCTTTCTTTTTTAATGTTTTTCTTTCTTTCTTTCTTTTATCTTTTTCTTTTTCCTTTGTTCTCATTCTTTTTATCCTTTACCGTTTCTTTCTTTCTTTCTTTCTTTCTTTTTCTTTCTTGCTTGCTTTCTTTCTTTCTTTTCTTTTTCTTTCCTCCCTTCTTTCTTTTTTTTCTGTACTTTCTTTCCTTCGTTCTTTTACTTTCTTTCTTTCTTTCTTTTCTTTTTTGTTTTCTTCCGTACTTTCTCTTCTTCGTTCCTTCTTTCTTTCTTTTTCTTTCTTTCTTTCTTTCTTTCTTTCTTTCTTTCTTTCTTTTCTTTGTTTGTTTGTTTGTTTGTTTGTTTGTTTCTTTCTTTCTTTCTTTCTTTCTTTCTTTTCTTTTTCTTTTGTACTTTCCTTCCTTCGTTCTCTTTCTTTCTTTCTTTCTTTCCTTCCTTCTTTCTTTCTTTCTTTCTTTCTTTCTTTCTTTCTTTCTTTCTTTCTTTCTAATTAGAATCTTCTTAGGTGTACTCTCTCTTATTTGTTCTTTCTTTTCTATCCTCTCTTTTTTACTCCCCTCCCTTTCATCACGTTTTATCTTTTTGTCATACGAGATAAAATTTCCCCAGTAAGTTGTAATTCTGTTTGATCAGAATTACAAATAAATAAAATACTGTCTTTGGAAAAACGTCGATTTTGCACTAAAAGATTTTACAAGATTCACACCGACAAGAATTATAAGATTTCTTTTCCTATCTTCACGAATACAGAAAAGGCCCATTTTAAACGGTAGCCATATTGCTCAATATCTCTATATTTTCCAGATCCTGAAATCAATTCATCTTGGCTCGACGTATCGTCTAATATTTGTTTTATATGTGTTAAAACGAACACTCTCCGCTATCTGACTCCAGCAACTCAGCTCGTTTTTCTAGTGTAGGGTGGATCGCTTAAAACTCGACACCAAGTAGATTTGGCGTATTGTTTCCGCTTAAAGAAATATAGAAAAATGATACTGCTTTTTGCAAAGGAAAACTATAACGCAACGTACATGTTAAATGATAATTACACACTTACTGGAATTGTAGCGTTATTTTTAACCAAACACTAACGTGTCAAATCATAAGAGTTTAGATAATGAGTAGCAATAATTTTAGCTTTAAATTAACATTTCACCTTTATTTGAGTTGATATCTGTTGATAATTTTTTTTTCGGCGGAAGTTCAATAGGTACGCGGCCCAATGGAGTAAAAAGCATTTATTGGGGAGCATATGAGAATAATTCAGAACCTCTGGTTGCAAACCGCCTGCATACGTTTAGAAAAAGAATTTACATTGTTCGGACTGTTATCTTCATTTTTATTGTCATGTTTACGACGTTTCGGCCCTTGAACGCTCCGGCTTTCTTCAGGAGACTGGAATTTCGAACTGTGCCCTTTAATTCGTCTATCGGACTAGATTGTTCTAGTTCCACGTGCCATGCCTCTTCCGGATGTCTCAGTTATCTCCCTTTAACTCAACTTTCCAAGTTTTTTTGTTCACCATGCAGTAGCCAGCTATTGAACTCACAACTCTCACAAATCTACCCCGGTGGACGAAATAAAGGGTTCAGTTCGAAATTCCAGTCTCTTGAAGAAGGCCGGAGCGTACAACGACCGAAACGTCGTGAAAATGACAATAAAGATGAGGACAACAGTCCCAATTATGTAAATAATGTAAATAATTACAATACCCGATCTCAGAGATATAGACAGTTAGAAAAAGAATTCTGTAAATATACAAAACAAAATAAATAGAAAATGTTGTAAGACAAGGATGCGACATTTCACCTACACAGTGGGGTGATTCTGAGGGAACTATAAATGCTATCAGGATACATTTGCGTTTGTCACAATCTTAACGACATAAGATATACAAATGACACAGTGTTGATTGCAGGCACTGAAAGGAAAGTAGAGGAACTTCTACATAACGCAGTAAAGGAAAGCGAGAAGAAAGGACTAAGCATCAATTGCAAGAAGACATAATGCATGGTTGTCTGCCAAAGGAACAGTCCAACATGCAAATTACAAATTGAAGATGCCAAAACTAAACAAGTGCAAAGATTTCTTGGAAGCGTTTTAAGAGAGGACAGAAAGTGTGACATCGAAATCCGAAGGCGCATTGCGATAGCGAAAGATGCCTTCTAAAACCTAAGCAAAGTATTAAGAAACAGGAAAATATCATTAGAAATAAAGAAAAAAGTACGGAACTGTTAGGTAATATCGATCCTTCTATTTGGTAGTCACTGCTGGATAATCTCCTCGCAGATGAAGAAGCAACAGAAATGTGTTTCTACAGAAGGATGTTGAGAATACCATGTGAGCAACGACGAAATTTTAGAGAAAATGGAAGCAAAAGGGATACTTAACATAAGGCAGAGACAGTTGAAATTTCTAGGCATGGGAACTGCTCTGACGAGATTTATTCGCCGGTTACCCGACAGCATGAATTTAAGCGGGTTACTAGATTGGCAACTAGGTCCCACGTTTTACTGTTGAAATTGTTAAATGCAACTTTCACTTCTGCTCTAACAGATTCTTTTCTCTCATTTATAACCTGTGGAACACCCTTCCGATTTCTTGCTTCCCTGTTAACTACACTCTTCAAAACTTTAAGTGCAACGTCAATCGACATGTTCTATCTTCTTTTCTGAAAACCCGTTTATTTTTTGCCCTTCCCTCAGTCCCTATTCTCAGTCTTCTCATTGTCTTTCACTTTCACTCCATGTAACACTTTGTGGCATTACCGACTTGCATGGGATGAAATGAGTAAAAAAAAAAAAACAAAATAAAGAAAAAGATGATATTTACATTATTTACCTTTGTTCGAACTGTTGTCTTCATCTTTATGGTCATGTTCACAACGTTTCGACCGTTGTACGCTCCGGCATTCTTCAGGTGATTGGAATTTCAAACTGCAATTCCGTCCAGCGTGTTCTAGTTCCACGTGCCATGCCTCTTGCGGATGTCTCAGTTATCCCCCTTTAATTCAACTCTCCAAGATTTTTGTTTACCAATGCTGTAGCTAGGTATTGCACTCACAACACTTTGAGTCAAGTCACTGGATCCAACCAACGCTTTTATCCACTGATCCATGTCCTTGGAACGGAACAACCTCCTGATCGATAACCAGTATGGATTTTGCCTTGCTAGATCCACAGCTGATGCCACCTATCATTTCTCACAGAATCAGCGAGCCACTAGACAATGAATTCAACATGGAGACCATTGACCTGAAGATATCAAAGGCTTTTAACAAGGTTTGGCAATGGGGGCTGCTCCATAGACTTTCCAGCAAAGGTATTGCTCTCTGAATTATCAAGTCCTTCCTAACAGGTAGGTTTTTGAAGGTCATTGTTAATAGTCAGTTATTGGAAGTCCATAAGGTCAATGCCAACATTCCTCATGGTTCTCGTCTCGGTCCTACCCTCTTCCTATATTATATTAATGATCTGCCTCCGAGCATATGCCGATCATCTATGTGGATATGGCAACAGTCTAGAGGTGCACTGCCAAGAGCAGAACCTAGCAGCTCATCTCTCCTCTGACCAAGCTAAGGTGGCTTAATGAGGAAAGGACTGGACTGTAAAATTTAAAACTGAACTAGTAACAGTCCAATACCTCCAAGCAGACCTTGAACCTACACAATGGATGTTTTTTTCCTCAAGGAGGCTACTTGCCTTGAACACCTGTTGAGATTCAAGTTGACCCATTGTTAGAGATACTAGAAAAATTATTGGTTCATTGTACTGACTTTAAATAACTTAATGGTTTGATAGGCCATAAAAAATGAAAAATGAATCAGTCAATTCTATAATCAGCAAGAGGGTTGTTGAACACCTCAACAAGAACAACCTCCTGATCGATAACCAGTATAGATTTTGCCCTGTTAAACCCACAGCTGATGTCTTAATTGTCATTTCTCACAGAATCAGTGAGTTACTAGACAATGAATTCAACATGAAGACCATTGACCCGAATATATGAAAGGCTTTTGACAAGGTTTGGCATCGGGGATATCTACATAAACTCTCCAGCTATGGAATTTCTGGAAGGGCTTTCATAATTATCAAGTTCTTCCTAGCAGGTAGGTCCAGTCTTCGGAAATCCATGGGATCAATGACAGCATTCTTCAAGGTTCTCTCATTGGTCTTTCCCCTCTATATTAATGATCTGCCTAAGAACATATTTCAATCTTTAATCAATATCTATGCGGATGATACAACAGCTTAAAGGTGCACTTCCCAAAATCTGTATGATCAGAACCTGGCAACTCACTTCTCCTGACTGAACCGTAGTGGCTCAACAGGGGAAAGACTATTCAATAAGGTCAAAACCAAACCAGTAATGTTCCATCATCACCGAGCAGTCCTTTGAACTATTATAATGGATGCGTGTTCTCCCAAGGAGTCTACTTGTCTTGAACCCCACACCTCAAATGAAAATCATATGTACAATCATTTGCTAAAAATTCTGGAAATGTGGTCGATTCCTTATAATGTTCAAGCATCTGACCTCCTACCATACTCTATCTTTAGAAGAACCAGATCACACCAAATATGGTACACTGCTGCCATATCTGGGCTGCAGCTACCCAGTCATGACTTGCCTGGCTTCAAAAGCAACTACACAGCCTCGTGGGTGATGAATAATTTCTACCCTAAAACACCTTACCTACAGACGAAACGCAGCAAGCCACTCGCTACCCTCTCGCTATTTCCACGGCAAATGTTCAGACGGGCTACATTATTTAATCCCACCAGACCTGACTGGAACCCGTTATACCACGTAAACGGGGATGAAACATCTTCATTTCCTTCGTATTCCGTTAGTAAGAAGGCAACTTCTTTCCAATAACTGCTACTTTGCGAAACAGACTCCCGAGAGATTGCTTCCCCGATCACTACAATCTTGTCCTCTTCAGGTCTAGGGTTAACTGTTATCTTTTCTACATCTTCGTAAACTGCACTTCTTGCCTTTTCTCAGGTACATACAGCACCACACAGTAACTCTCTACATCGAGTACCTCTTGAGTCTTGTACTGACTGAATATAAATAAAAAAATCTTTCCAAAGAAATTATGAGTGTTCCCAGATTATAAAGTAAGAGTAGCAGTGAACAACTATCTACACCAATGCATAGAAAATATAAAGGTGCAGATATACGGGAATGGAATAGTTATAGGCTGGAACAACTTCGCAAAATATGAAGAAATGAGCAAATACTATCTTTTGGTTAATCTTCTTGATCGGATCGAAAGATTTTCAGCACCCCCTCATACAGAAGGATCAGTCCGAATTTCAGGTATCTAAATTCAAAATATTTTAAAAGATGATAATAATAATAAAGGAAAAGATATTATTTCGAAAATATCTGTCAACAACTGATCTGCTTTTTTTCGCACTAATGCCCTTGGAAAAGGTATGAATATATCTCTTTTCCAACTATGTGTAAATAATAGAGGATGTAGCAGATTGTCTACAGTAATAACTCTGAATTCAAACACTGGAAAAAGCAACGGGAAACCATTTCATTATCCTCCTCAAAAGGTCATGGAAATTCACTAATAATAAAGAAAAGAAAGCCGTGGA